CATTTCCAAGATCCTGAATGATACTAAATCGTTTCAATTGCTAGCTCTTCAAATGTATTTTTGAACATTTTCTGGGTATTTTTATATGTACATAAGTTAAAATCATGATTGCATATATAAAAAGAAGTCAAGGGGAAAAAAACAAGGTCCAACCCCTGTGGCAGCTTAATATTAAGGTTGGGTTTGGTATATGGCACTGGGTTCATGTGTTTTTACAACAGATGTATAAAAGATGTCTTTGCCTAACTGGCGCTTCTGAGTATTGTTAAAGTATTAATACAAAATAACAATGGTAATAAGGAAGGACTGCTTTTTTTATCACCTTTTTGTTACAGAACAAACCTGGCCAAATACACAGGAGACCCTCCTGACTACATGGAAAATAGTGGCGTTTACTGCTACCAGCGTTTTATTAGTACTGCTACTGGTTATTTTAGCCAGGATGTTCCAGACCAAATTTAAGACACATTTCCTTCCACGGTTTGTACTGTTTTCTATTACCTTTTGAAGATTGAGGGCCTTGATTCAGTTTTCACATTCAGCACTCCTTGCTGAGGAGATGGAGCAGCTCACGAGCCTGGCAGATACCTCCTGCTTCTGCTCTGAGCAGAAGTCTCTGAACCACTGGTGTGGATAGGCACCCCCAAAAACCCTGCAGTGGTGCTCACTGCAACTGAGATAAAAGGCAGAGTTTGCCAGATTCACGTTGGGAGTAATTACAGCTCTGCTGCTGAGAATTGCTGCTTCTGCATAGTAGAAATAGCTGGCAATATTTTTAAATACTCATTTTCAGGTGCTGGGGGACTTAGTGTTTTAACTACTGTAGACTTAGTAATGTGAGTTTTAAGAAAGAATTTCTTTTTTCTCTACGGACAAATTTATATTAAAAGTTTGCTTTCTCTTCATGAGTATTACTTTCATCATGATTCATAAACATTTCCTACATCTTCCTTTATTCCTATCAAACACCAAGCAGCTATGAGCATTTGTCATTGATTCTCACAGCAGTCCTCGTAAGACAGAGTGGTGGGTATTATTATCACCATTGAGCTGGAAAAACAAAGGCAGGCATGCCGAGTTTTAGGCAAAGCTAGTACTCTACTGGGGTTCAGACCCTTTTCTACTTTTCACTCTGCTCAGTTTGCAGTGGACCTCGACCGTGTGACCTCTCTCCTGCACTTGCTTTTTGTCGTGTCTTTTATTCTACCATGTGCAGAAAGGAGAGGTGGAAAAAGCGGAACGTCAGTAAACATGTCTGCATGCCAATGCAGCAGAAAGGACTTCACCATCTTAATGCTAAATAAGCATGTGTACATAGAAGTATACAGATTATATAAGTAATGTATAAATGTTTATATATATGTGGGCATATGTACAATATATGGATAGTAGTATACATATGCATATGCATATACATATACATACACATACACACATACATATACATACACATACCCATCTATGAAGCTCTTTGGGTCAGTGGGTTGCACTACAGAGAGCTTTATAGCCTGCACTTTCTAGCTTACTGAAATGGCTTTCTGCCTTCTCCTTTTCAGACATTTTCATGTCGCAAAGGTACCTGGGACCAATTCCCTCCCGTGATTTAACTGACTAGTTATAAACAAATACTTTAGGGTTTAACAGACCTTCCCAATTAATGTTTTGTTAAAAAAAGAAACCAGCTTATTACTGGTTAAGGAAGCCTTCATCCTTTGAAAGTAAGACCTGAAGGAGGCCACAGATCTGGCCACCAAAGCCCTGTCATCCAGTAGCAATCATCTCAGTGACTGTTTACATGGGTTGTAAACACTTCTGTGCTCTAGCACACATCCTTCCAGGGGTTCAGACACTTCTGACTGGTGAACTACATCTGTGATCTTACATCCATGACACCTACTGTGCACAGCAAAGCAACCGGTGCTGCTTACCTCTTCCAAGCACCCTTTTTCCTCCCCTTCTCAGAATTGTTCTTCACATTAGTGGTTTCATTTCTCCAGTTGTAACAGATTCCACCTGACTGGCAACCCGAGCAGAGCTTTGCAGCCCTGTGAAGCAACCATTTCTGTGAATGTTAATGACCTTGTAGCTTCATTTTGCATGACTAGAAAGTGCTGTGTTTACTTAAGTTCAGCAACGCTCCGAGGTGCTTCTGACATGCTCCTGCTCTCTGTGATAACTCATCTGTGTTTGACGTAGAGGCAACCAGGAGGGCTCCATGGGTGACCCCGACTTTGTGGTGGTGGATGGTGTTCCTGTCATGCTGCCTTCCTATGATGAAGCTGTGAGCAGCGGCTTGAATGCTCTGGCACCCGGATACTCGGCTACCGCAGACCAGGGGCATATTTTGCAGACAGAAGACCAGAACCCTCCTGCTTACCCCGGCCCCAGGATTACAGACACGCTGCCTAGTGAATCTGAGACCTGCGATAACAGGTCAGACTCCTCTGAACTGCTCCAAAGCTTGTACCCATCCCAGGCATGCCAAGCGGCAGCACTTCCTGGTTCAGGTAGAACTGATGTACCCCATGGCACTGCTGGGGAGGCTGCGTCCACGAGTCCACGCATTGATATTGCAGATGGTGAGTCTTGCAAAGGTGCAGTAGGTGAGTCCATAAACAGGAGCCATCATTCATTTGTATGGTCAGAGCAGGAATAAAGCCGGCTGACTTGCCCGGTTTTGTCCACATCTAAATGTGGATGTTTTTTAAACCATACTACTCCATGGTCATATAGCTTCGTGTCTGTGATATCCTTTCTAGCTGTGGTGCAACGATTTGAATCCTAGACCAGAAGCTTCCTGTCCAGACCCCAAAACAGCAGTCTTATCAACTGGGATATCAGCAGGCACCTCTGTACAGCAGCAAAGCCAACCATCATCTTGCCTATGTTGGTCTGTTCATCTGCTCCTCAACTCCTATGCTCGCAACTTCCTCACATGCCATAGCTTTCACAGCAAAAACTAGGATTTTCTCCTTAAAATGGAAAGCAAATCATGTTTTCATACTCAGCCAAAATTAGCTTTTTTATTAACAAACTTCTCATGCCTATGTGTACAGCAACTCCTCATCTGAGGCATGTACATGCTAAGCCATGGCCATGGGAGTCACAGCATAAGGCACCCACAGGACCCTGTATGACAAGGGAGATTGCCATATACTATTGTCTGCATTTAAACTGAACATGAGCATGCACTGATGCCAGTTCTTTTGAGTTCTAATGGAGCTGTATGGTGTGCTGCTCAGTGTGCTAAGGAAACTAGATTGCTTTCCCTGGAGACATTTTGAAGGAGTGGCTCTGATCCTGCTCTCCACAGTTACTAGGCAAAAAGCTGAAGCCCAGTGTCTTGAATTCAGTGTGGGTAAAGGTCCAGGTGGAGGAAGTCCTTCTTCATAGGGTCAGGGCTAATTTTTACTGATATGACAAAGGGAAGAGGACTACTAGGAGGAGGAGGGAGAAGTTACAGTGATGCCAGTAAAAGTCCCTGCCTCCTCTGAATGCTGTTTCAGTGATTAACATAAGAAAGGATGCTTGCAATTAGGTTTTTGTAGGCCTGGTTTGTTTTATTAAATCTAGATAGTCTTAGAAGGTTAATTTTCATCTAAGTGTTAGAGCGGGTCTAGAATTACTGATACCATATGTCTTGTTCAGACTTTTGCAATGTCCATTTGTAGCATTGCTAATATGAATGTCCTGCAACAGAATAAAGGGAAAATACAGTCAGCAATCAATGCTATTTCTTTTTTTCCCCTAGAGATTCCTTTGATGGAAGAAGACCCTTAGCCTGCGCAGAGACTGGTCTTCGTCAAATTGCACTGTTGAGTGATGTGAATCATGAGCATCTAGAGATAGAAAAGACTATCTGTGGATTTGGGGAGGGTTTTTTCCTACATATCAATCTTCCATGTGATGATGTCACCAGGTTAGGTGTACATCTTAATCCACAGCAGGGATAAGAGCATCAGCATTTGGAACAGCAGCAGTTTTATGAATGAATCCTGGGGATTTGATGTGAGCAGATGTAGAAAAAGAACTGTGGCTTTTTAGAAATGAAATGTATCTCTGCATCGCAGAAAGTCATATGGTTCTGTAAGAAATGCTATTGGATTTTGATACTAACTGCCTCAGCATGTCAAAGTATGTAAATTTGCTTATAAAGACTGCTTTAAATGAACTATGGACCTCTAGTTTATGAAGAATCCTTACACGTTTAAAAAAATACTAGTACTGAAACACACAAAAAGAGGAAAGATCCTCTTTGGCTTTCCTACAGTGACCAGGAAGCTTTTGATTTAGCTGTTGGTGATTTTGTTTCAGACCATGTCTGCAGAAAATATAACAGAGATGATGGGATTCATATATACTTTGATGTATGATAGCAAATATATATAAATATATATATATTTAAAAACTCTTAAAGAGAAAGAAAAGGAAAGACTCCAAGGTCACATAATGATCTGGAGATTTTTTTAAAGGCAAGGCAGAATTTATATCCTATTCAATATTCAAGGTAAAGTATCGGTATTTGTATTTATGCAAGACTTCTGTGACTACATTGCATTTGATAAATCCTGCTATAATATCAGAGATCTAGAACATGTCAAACTTACTAAAATACGTGCTTAAGAAATGTTGAAGTGCCCTGTTTCAACCTTTCTTAAGCTCTTACAAAATATACATATATATACCAGAGTAATCTACAGTCATAGCCCAGAGCACTGCCTTGTCCCTCTACATTGTGGTAGTATTCTGAGCCATTATTGTAGAATACTTTTTAAAGAAACAATAAAGTTCCGTTTCAGTTCTTTTGACTTACCTGAGTGTGTGTAGTTGGCCTTTCTTTCCTTCCTCACATTTTCAGTTTTACATTTATTACCCTGCTAGAAATGGAGAGAGTGCTTTTGGTTAAGCAGAGCACAATGAAATGGGTGAAGCAGTGGTGCGGCTTCTGTAGATGCTGCATGGCTTTTCTCTCCCCTACATGTGACACCAGAGCATTGACCTTTGTGGTGTTACAGGCTATTCAACATTTGTCAGGAAAAATTCCTGGCTGCTTCATACACTTAATGAAAGCCAAGCACATTTCCTTGACTCATTTTGGGTATTGCGCAAAGGAAACACATGTTAAAGTGGCAGTGTTTGAAGGAAGAACTCGGCGTATGTTAATGATAAGGATTGTCATCATGTGGGCCAATCCAAAGGAAAGGATGAGACCGCATTCTGATTTTATGTACAGAGTAAGCCAATAGTATTTCTATTGCCCTAAAGAGAGGATTGCTGCAAGTTGCTCTGTTATGTTTTCATGATTGTTTTATTATTCACTGGTGTTGTGGTAGCATCCAGTGGCCTCACTTATGAGTCAGGCTAGTAGAATGATGGATGTGCTGCACCCATTCAAGAAAGTGTTCTATTAGCGTCCTGTCAGCAACTGTATATGACAGCAAGATGGAAATGGAGACCAGAACTGCGTGATGGAGAGGCAATTATTACAATAATCTCAGTTATTCTACGGTATCATTGATGAGAATGTAGTGATTGGTATTGAAAGACAAGACATACTCCACATTTCCTCCATGCTTGCTTACTTAAGATTTGCATTTTTAATGCTGCAAGTGTCTCAATTGCAATCATATCATTGGGTTTATCCCAGAGCCGTATCTATTGGGCACTAGTACTTTATTTTCTACCCATTCCTTTTCAGATCCCATGGTTTCCAGAGATTTTTCCACTGTCAGTTAAAGTTCAGAACAGTCTCCCCAGCAAAAACAAGACAAGAGTGCTGTAATACCACCTTTGAATTGAAGCACGTCTCAAGCCTACAGTCAGTTAAGTGATTTTTGTTTCATAATGTCATTGAAAAGTATTGAATTTACTTGAGATGCACTATAAAATATTATGAAATCTGTCTTTGCTGGGTTTTTAACAGCTTGTGAAATTTCATTCCTTATTAAATTTCTAGACTTCCATTTATTAATTTCTGTTACGAAGGATTTTGATTAATATTGGGAGCCCTGCGGTTTTACAGTTTTATACTGCTGTATGTATTGTATTGCAGTTATTTTACTAAGGGAGCCAGACAGGGTAACTTAAGAAATGTAAATTTATGGCTTATTAGACCACTTTTATTTTAGCAAGTGCACAACTGCAAATACACTAGAGAACATTGATGTATTAATATTGCTTGATAGTCCTTTGATAGCACCATACTAAATACAACTTGCAAAGGCAAAAGAGAGATTCTTAGCATTTTTTGTTTATGATGTGTAAGACTTTCTGAAAGGGTGTTATGGGGGGATTACTTGTGTAGTTGGGTTTGGGGGTTTTGCATGCTTGGGTTCGGGGGGGAAGGAGAGGACTGTTTCTTTATTTCTCCACGCGGGGCTTGAATTCTCATGAGTGGTCTGCCTGCCCCCAGATGCGCGCCTGTGTATGGACCCAAAGCTGATGCCCCACAGCCTGCCCAGCTCCCTGGCCACCTCAGATCAACCTCAGTGTTCTCTCAGCCTTGAGAACCCTGCAGCTCCCTGGCCTAAAAGCTCGGATCAACATTGCACACACCCTGAAGGCAGCCAGACCTTGAGGAGGGCGGATGCTCTTAGCACCTCGAGAGAGCAGGGAGCTGGTAAGATCATGTCAGCATGTTTGCCGTGCAAATGAAACCAGATGGGAGGATGAGCTTGTCTTACGCAGATCATAAGCTGTTTTCACTGGAGATAACTGGATGTGAATAAAAAAACAAGCCCAGGAAACCCTCATTCGTGAAGGGAGAATGTTGGTGAAGACAACCCACGTGCCTTCAGCAGAGGGAGGAAAGAGTGCATAATACTGAGAACTCCAGGAAAGACAAACAAGAGCTGGATTCACCCTGCCAATACCTCTGAAAATGAAAAAGGAGGAGGAGAAATGAGCAATGCGTCAGCCTTCAACACTGACTGATGAACGAGGGCTTGACCTGCAGAGTGCTGGGGGAAGGATGGGGATCCAAGGTCTCACAGCAGCGCTGCAGGGAGTGAATCACAACCTGAGCATGAGTCAACAGGACCTGGCTGATGTGAAAATGTCAAATAGCAATACGAGGGTGTTTACGTGGAACTGTAACTTATAAAATGCATGAAGCAACTCTTCAGCACCACTCAGCACTAGTGAGGTCTCAGCTGTGTCTAACATTGAGCAGATTTTTCTCCTCTTCAAGGGAGATGTGCAGCAGCTGGACGGAAGCCAAGCAGAGAGAATCAAGAGTTATTAGAAGTCTGAAAGAGCCTGTCCTCACAGGTTATGACAGAGATTATTTATGACAGATTAAGACAGTGTTCAGTGTGAACAACAGAAGACCAAAAGGGACACAGAAATGCAGTTTGCTGTAAGAAGCATATTTTGCATAGAAGTAGGACAAGAATAATAGGCTTAATCGCAGCTTGAGAGAATTAGGTTAGATATTAGGAAATCACTCTAGCCACAGGCATGAGGCAATGGTTACAAGCAGGGAGAGTGTCAAAAACCTCTTGTTATGAGAGATTTTAAATAAACAAGGACTAGGAAAACACTGAGGTGAGATGCACTACATGAGATCTGGGGCTTCTTCTCATTCCATTCCCAATACCTGAGAACTAAATTTGGCTGATGCACTACTGGGATTAGTCTATATGGATTCTTTCCATATAGACTAATTCCAAACTGATGGTACTGGGCAAACTGGCCAGCAGTCATCAAAATGACAGCCAGAGGCACTGCCTATTCCACCAATAGTAGCTTTTCGTGTTTCATGGGCTGAGCTCCAGTAAAATCCTGTCAATTGAACCCTGTTGCATTAAAGCGACATTGATTTCAGAATTCTGTCGTGTGACAACTCCAAATTTGGGATTTTCTGGTCTTCGTGTCTGTCTTAGGCAGCGAAATGAATGCCGCCCTTCTGATACGCTGTGTGCATTAGGTGAAGTAAATCCTCTCTCAGCAGTTATCTGAAGACACCTATTGAGCTCAAGGGAAAACAGCAGCTCAGGCACTGGAGCGCAGAGCCCATTGTCCTGTTGATGCAAAACTTGCTTCCTGTGCCTCAAAAGCTGTAAGTACAGCTTACAACATCAGCTGTCAGAGGAGGAGTACCACAGATGAGAGAAGCACGTCTCAGGCTCCTGCTCTTGGTCTCCCATGGATTCCCAGAGAGGACATGGGAGCAGGGAGAACTGGAAAGCACATAAACATCTGCCCCAAACCCAGGAGCATCTCCTACTGTCAAGGGCAAGTTCAGTCCCTTCAACACAGTTCCCAAAGGAATTGCACTACGGCAGAGGGGAGGCAGTAAGGCAGAGGGGTGGTACACCCTGCTTTGCCTATTGCTCTCCCGAGCCAGGCTCTGCAGCCAGAATAGACAGACAAATCCTTCTCCTCCAAAATAGTGTATATAACTTCCTTCATGCATTAGAGATATCTCTTGTCACTACCACTACATAGAAGCATACAGCTCATTCTTCCAGCCCGGCCTTTTCCAGGAAAGATAAACATAACATAAATAACATAAAGATATGTTATTTAAGAGTAACAGAGGGCATTAGCTTGAGATTAAATTATTTGCTGTCCAGGTGTCAGAGCAGACACATAGTTCACATAGACCCTATCACAGAAATTGGACATTAGGGTGACTGGGATTCTTGAGGCAAAGGGACTGTGCTGCAGGGCAGGGAGAGCTGCTACGTGAGGGTTTGTAACCCAAAAAACATGGGTTTTCCCGGTATAATAAAGTACATTAAACAGAAACTTGGAGGAGGAAGAAGAAGACATTTTAATAAAGTCCAAGGGACACAGATAAGTTCCCCATTGTTCTCCAGTAAGAAGAGAAGGAGCTGTTTTCTTAATAGAACTGGTTCAAGAGGAAGTCAAGAGGCAAAGAAGGAAGAAAAGCTTCCTGGACTGAGGGTCCAGCAGCTCTTTTCCATCACCTCTGCATTTCAATGGTCAGACTGGTTCTGCTTGCAATAAAGGGCCTTGGTTTTGATTTGGATCCACATTTTCCATTTTACTGTGTTTGCCTTCTGTTTCCCCTCTGCTTATCCTTCTACTCTGTTTCTCCTTGGTTTTATTGTAACTAATACTATTGTTCCACTTTATCCTGCCACCACAGTCATGCTGGGAAGTGAAACAAGTTGCTTAATTGCAGTGCTGCACTCAGCAGGACATGTCCCCTCCCTCACAAGAGGTTGCTCTTATTTGCCTTCCTCATTTACAGTCTCAGCAGAGAGGACAAGAAGGGACATGTTGTTCCTCACTCTGCTGTCAAATGGTCCATGAAAATGCTTAAACAGGGACACTGAGGGGAGCCCACATTGCTACATGCCCCGGTCCCAATGCTGTCAGCTCATGATCTTTCATTGGTCCATATTCACCGCTGCACACAGATGCTCCTATACAAACACAGATATTGAAGAATCAGCTAATATTTCAGGGTGCTTCAAGGTAAGACATTTTAAAGAGACCCTCATTCCTGAAACTGGTGAGCTCACAGCTTCAGAAAATGGGTGCTGGCACAGCCCAGTTAGGGAACACAAGGGTGCACAGCAGGCTGCTTCATCTGCCCGCTTCCTGGCGCTCCAGTATGAGCCCCTTGTCCCTGGGATAACTGCTCAAACCAAACAGTTGCGGTTTCTAAGCTGTCAGGTCCACATCTCTTTTTTTTCCAACCTAATTAGGCCAGATTTATTTTTAACGCTCCTTGTTACCATCCCCTTCTGACTTCCATCCATCTACTGCTGAGTACATGCTGCTCTTGCCAAAGCAAGTGTCTTTCAGCAGCTATCTCAGCCCCCCTGGAACCGTACCACCCTGCGGGAGATCGCGCTTGCCACTGTTGTCCCTGCTATTAATTCCATGGCAGCACATGCTGTTCGTTTGCCTTGTGCAGTGCTCTCGTGTTAATAACCGTGCAACCGGTTGTTATTTTGTTTCATAACCATTACCATTGCTGCCTGTTGTTGATAATTCAGGGTTAATTACTCACTAAAAAGTTTAGCAGAGCAATTTAGCTTTGCTTAGCCTGTTTGCTGATGAAGACTCTAAATGTCTGCAGTCTATCACTGATACAGATGTTACTGGAGTTCTGTATAATTGGCTTTTACTGCAGCAAAAACAAGGTTTAGTCCAACTGGCAAGTCAGCTGCCTGCTTGTACACATATACTGCTTGGGTTTCCATTGGATTTTGGGCAACCAGCTGGGAGGAGAACTGCCGCAGTAACTTACTAGGTTCAATTCTGTATCTTTGCAGCAGTGTGCAGCATAGGAGCAGCTACAGAAGTGCTGAAGCTCAGCGTTAAAAAGGACATCATGGCAGCTGTGAAGAGTCCAGCAGCACAAGTAGGTTAATGGTGCTGGTGTGATCTGTCACAGATACACCTTACTGAAGACTGACATGCCTACGACAAGACTTGGATGATAATGGTCTGTCTGGTTTATGGAAAAAGTGAGGAAAAAATTGCCAAGCAGCAGCATTAAACTGATGATGCCTCTCCAGTCAGTTTTCTCTGGTCTGGCTGTCTCCTGTTTCCTGAAGTTTTGAATCTAGGAGCTGTTACAGACAGAAGGTTTGGGATATATGCACTGCTCTCAGTTTCCAGTGAAATGGATGGGAACTGGGACACTTTCAGCAGCAAGCTCCTTCTGACCATGCATTGGGAGTCCCCATCTCCTCATACCCAGAAGCAGAAGAAAGGCCATGTGCTGCCATCTGAGGAAAGGCTGGGTTTAGCATTATACTCCTGTAGAGCAAAACTGGACCCTGGAAACTCCACCCAGCTCTCTGACTTTACTTGCATTACACTCTTTGTAGTGAATTGAGGCTGACTGGACTGGGTGCTCTGTGGTATTCTGCATTCATTTAAGCCTTCACAACACAAGTCATCGATAGACAGAATGGCTGCTCTGGCCATTGCCAAGCAAGTGAAAGCAAGATGTTCTGTTGGGCACTTTCTATATCCAGCACACTGCTGTCTTCATCTTCGGATGCCTGAGTATCCTAAACATGCCTGGATATCTTACTATTAAATTATGAGTGAGAAACTGATTAATTGTTCCCTGACCTTCAGTTTCTTCATTGAGACTGTGTCACCAAACAATATTTTATGTCACCAGGAGACAGCAGATGTAAATCAAATATCTGCCTGCTCCAGAATATCTAACAGGGGAGGAAATTACTTCCATCCGTTAACACAGCAGATTTTAGAGAGGATTTTCTGCCTTCCAAATTCAGTTTTAAAATGCAGGCTCACTGCACAGGCACAGGTCTGCCTGTTGGTGTCCAGCACAAGGGGCATTGCCTCAGTTTGCCTGCAGCACTGGCAAGAACAACCTGCCGCTGTCTCCCATCTTCTAAATGTTTTTTTATGACTATGTAAATTAAAAACTGTAAGTGAAAATATCCAAGATGAATTTAGGTTCTGGGTTTCTCTAGAAGGAAATGTAGTGGGTATCCTTTCTCAGTAAATTCTAACAGAATAAAATATAACATATAATAAATTCTCAATAAAATCTAATTCTCAAATCTCTTCATCGGGGACTGTAGCGCTAGGACAAGAGGTAATTGGTTTAAACTGAAACAGGGGAAGTTCAGGTTAGATCTAAGGAAGAAGTTCTTTACTGTAAGGGTGGTGAGGCACTGGAACGGGTTGCCCAAGGAAGTTGTGAATGCTCCATGCCTGCCAGTGCTCAAAGGCCAGGTTGGACAGAGCCTTGGGTGACGTGGTCTAGTGTGAGGTGTCCCTGCCCATGGCAGAGAGCTGGAACGAGGTGATCTTAAGGTCCTTTCCAACCCAAACCACTCTATGATTCTAAATTAAATGATAACTCAACTGGCTCTAAAGAAGGCTGTCCCCCATGCGCTTCACTTCTGCTGTCCAAGACTGAACATGCAGTAAGTAGAGAGGGGACTTTCTTCCCCAAATAATCAGCAAGAAATGACAATGGGCCTTGGATCTCTGAGAGCACCCGTGATTACAGCACATAACATCTGCATACCTTAACTGGGATGCCAATGCCTTTGCATGCAATGGGGAGAGAGCAGTGCTCTGCCCCCCATGCCATCTTGTGCCCCTACTTTGCTCAGGTACGCTGGGCATAGCAGCCCCCACTGAACCTGGTGCATTTACCAGGTGCCCTGTGGCAGTGCTTTGTAAGTTCTTTCCCTTGTTTTGTCCTTTTAGGTTTTTGCATTGGCAGCATTCAGCACTACCAGTTCACTCTATTAGCATGTTCTTTGGGCTCAGCTGTATGAGGCAGTATTTTCAACACACATCAGCTCCAAAGCAAGTGCAAAAAAAACCCAGTAACAACAACAAAAGGACTTAGACGAAAAAAAATCAAGCTCAGGAGTAGCCTTGTTGTTGTGCTGTCCATGTGCATTCATTTTTCAGTTCAGATTAGTCATGCACTTAAGGGATAGGAAGTTCACAAAAGGGCAGCCAAATCTCATGTTCAGAACTGGGGCGCTGGAAGGAAAAACCAGCATGCGAACCAGACAAATATGAGCCCACGATTGCATTGAAATCTCAAAGGTTAATGCAAGATGTGTTCAGAACTGCTTTTGGTGGGGAAAAAAAGCCCAGCCTGTGCCATGCAATTACACATTAAAGCTCTGTGGAAAAGATTTGTTTACTGAATGAGAAAGGCACACACGCCAGGCTGCTGGGCCGAGAGTCCTGTGCAATCATCACAGGCTGCAACACAAACACAACAGTCTGAAGACCTTTGACGTTTGATGAGTGCTTTTCTCTTACAGAGTGAGGTGAGTTTGGACCTTAAAAGGAAAATGAGCTAAGCTGCTTTAATTAGTAGGGCCAGAGAGAAAGAAATGAAGAATGACTCTGGAGAGAGGTAAGTACATGCAAAAGCTTGCAGGGAAACTGATGCCAAGCAGATTGGAATAAATATCAAATATAGATGGACTCATGCGTGCAGATGCCAAAACCAACTGTTTCTATGTAATTCCAAGAAGGAAATGCAAAAGAACTTCAAAAGCACAAATCTGTGATAACTGGGAAACACTCTACTTGAGTATATTTACCTATTGGCACGGTCATAAAGAATTGATTCTGCTCTCTCAGAAACAACAGCTGTTCACTGCTTAAGGCTGTTACTGGATTTGCACCATGTAACCTAGCACAAAAGAGACCCAACTTTATGCTATTGTGGCCCATCTGTACTGGGCCTTGATTCACACAGCTCCGTCAGTACGATTAGTGGTGAGCTAGCCAGCAACACTAGTGACAAATGTGACTAGACAGAAAGTTGTCTCAGATGCACAAAGAAACTGAAAAATACCAGCAATCCGTGGGGCTATTTTCATGCTATTTTCAGGCAAATGTGATTTGTGAGGTGGTGGTTGCTTCACAGGCAGCGAGTCACGGAAGCTTAGCCTCTGCAGCATCTTTCTTTTCCTTAGGCAGCACTTCCCATAGCAGTATCAGGTGTAGATAAGAGCAGTGTTTTAGGGCTTGTGCTGATAGCACAGTGAGCAGAACCTGCTGTCAAGCCAGAACAGGTAGGGAGAACACAGGCCATACGAAAGGGAAACACACTTCATGTCAGAAAGGGATGAAGCCAGAAGCAGTGTGACATCCTGCTCCATGTTACCCGGCATAAAAGCAGGAGTGGAAGCAGCACTGGTTGAAGCTTGGCTACACTAGGCATCAAGTGAGATGGAATGAGATGCAGCACAACTGCTGTATCTTACTATCCTGGTATTCTGGTATAAAGACTTATTTAGGTTATTATTCTGATGCCTGCAGGAATCTTCCCGTATGAAGAAGCAAACGTTTTTTCTCTATTATATGCTTTGTTAATAAAACACTTTGAAGATTCTTAGGTTAACATTCCTGGGAGCGCAAGAAGTGATGTGCTGTCTTTATGCTCTCCTCATGCTTTGTGTTTTTGAGCAGTACAACATGACATGTTGCAATTCATCTGTCATTTTCACATTTGGAGAAGTGGTCAGAATGGAGCAATCCAGCCCTGTCAGCTGAATGCACTGTTGCTAACTGACAGATGTCTTGAGTGCAACAGGAGGCGTGAAGCTGTTGTGGAGGCGCTGACTTGTAAACCCCAGTTGCATGCAGAACCTTGGCATATTGTCAGCATGTACAGCTTTCAATTTCAAGGGACATTTCCTTTGGTGTTACCCGTGAGTTTTGTTTAACTTTCATCTTCCCTTTTTGTTAACGCTGCAGGAATTATTTCTTGGGGCTGTCTCCTGTCTTACTTCATGCTGCATGTGCCCTGTGATTCCCAGGGGGTTCTGTGGGTATAGACCTGAGCTTACACCAGTGCAGTCACATACAAATAGCAGACAATGCAATAGCATGAAAGCTGTCACAGGCCATTTTACTACAGCCCCAGTGTTTGAAAGGTTAGATAGTTAATTTAGTTATTATAAAATCACGTTATTTGCACAATACAGGGAACAGCCACCTGGCCAGCGGGTGCTGCCTAAACAAAGGTCTCCTCCTACTCTTGAGTGTCCCCAAGGGGAAGCTGCCCCTGCATCTGGCTGGCCTGGCAGCAGAGCCCAAACTAGGGGTTTGCCCTCCACATCTGTGGGGGGCAGACAATCCAGGGCTGTCTTTCATATTTTTTACTGATCTATGTATTTATTTTCAAGCCTGGGATTACATTTTCCTCGTATAACCCACTCAGACATTATCCTTTGGCATGTTTTTACCTTATTTTTAAGAATCCAAAGCAGGGAAAGCACAGCCCTGAGCCTTTTTGCCGAGATCCAACCGTGCTAATTTCAACAGATGACACCAGCTTCAACGTGTGTTAAAATGAAAACATGGACGTTCTCAAGCTAAAATGTAAGATGTTGAATTATTCTTATGTTGAGACTGATGAAGCACTTTCTTCAGTTGATCAGACTTTGCTCAGTTAAACCTTACTGGTCTTGCTTGTCTCCTTTGCTCAAATTAACACAGACATATTTGTAATTGAACTCAGTGGTAGCCAAGGCTATAAAGGCATATAAATGGAAAAACCTGCCTCTCCAAAGCCTGCAGTCTCACTAGGAATGAAGCTCACAGAAGCACATTCAAATCAAAATCAATGCTACCTGCACCAGCAAGAAAATCACTTGCAGAGGCTCATTCTGGAGCCTTCACTATGCACAAAGAGAGAATAATTATCTTTGTCCACAGAGCAGATAGAATAAGAAAGGCTAAATTTCTACATGTAAAACTGTTGAGTTCTCAGCCTTGACAAAAGCTTTCTGAAACACTTCAGTAATTCCCCACATACTCAACACACCCCACGCTGGCTGTTGTTGCTGCTGTTAGGCTGGAGGTTTATTGAGGAGATCACAGATTTCCCTATGTTTGGTGTGAAATCCAGGTGGGGGAAAAAAAAAAATCAAGTAATTCTTGGTATTTAATATGTTAATTCTAACTGAGACTCGTGACATAAAGGAACTTAATGCCATCACCTATGCAAGATATGAAATACGTGTCTCCAGAAATAGCAAGCTTATTGCAGTGCTGATCCTATGTGGGTGGAAGCCTGCTTTTAGAAGGAGCTTGTGCGAAATGCTCATGTATTTCACCTGCCTTTTGTTCACACTAGGTGAGCCCAGAGGTACGATAAGACACAGATTTGGTAAGTATCTTACATGTAAGAAATCAGTAATTTGATGCATTAATCACTAGAGTGCAATTATAGACCTTAATTTAGGAGGCGTTAGTCCTTTGCCATAGATAAGCTTCAGTGGCTATTAGAATTTCATAGTCTGAGTTCACTGCAACTGGCAAATGTTGTTTGCACAACCAGCACACACAAGGGCCTGGTTTTTGGCTGGAAGCACATTTTTTCACTATTAAATCCACTCCATTAAATACAAGTGAGCACCTGTTCAGGCCTCATTTCAATAAAGATTATATCCCAGTTGCATTTTAAGGGGGCTTATAAAGAATGCACATTATTAATGTCTTTTATTAGTATGTTTAAAAGGGAATGGGATACACTGGAAATATTACAAGCACATCAGTAGAAGACATCATAGCTGGTGATAAACCATGGCAATAAATAGCCTATTGACCTGTTGCAGTCCTTATCAAAATATGAGGCAAATAACTATTTGTCACAAAATCTGTTAAAGCATTTACAGACACTCCATAAATAAAACCTTCATATATAGTATGTTCTTGAAATGAGTAATGTGATTAAAATTAGGTAGCTACATGCTTGATTTCAAGCAGCTGCATAAATCTAGGACATGGTAAAATTCTGTGCATAATTGTTCCTAATTGTTGATGGTTTCATGTGGAGAGTGGAGAGGATACACTTTCTTTTCCCTCCTTCCTAATCCATTACAGTATCTACTAGGTGTCTAGCTCACCCTGTGTATGGGACTTGCAGAAGGTAACGGAGGAGCAACAAACATCTCTCTGCTTAACACAGACACCTTGACAGCAAGCCAGCTTTTGTTTTAGTTTGCATCATTTCTTGCAAGTGACAGAACAACACAAGATGCTTGTGTAGGTTTGCCTTTTGCCAC